AGTCCTGGCTCGCCAGAATTTGAAGGATGTTGCTTAGCTTCTCTTTGGTTCCATTTTCTCTATTGGATATGGGAATAAGAACTGTGGATCCCCTCTCGTGGTCGTTGGGAGGATTAACTGACTTACTATGTAAAAGACACTCTAGTGCATAGGAAATGCTTGCTAAATATCAGCTGCTGTTAATATTATTTGGGATAGAGAATACATCGGACAAGATGTTTCTAACACAGACATGACCAAATCGATTGGGTGATCTGGTTGGGACCGTTTTCTCTCTACTCATGGGTGGTCAGGCTTCATTTACATCATCTGGCCAACTAGCTAAGGTCCACTTATTTACTTGATTATATTTGTTATTATTCTTTAATTTGACCAGAGAGAAAGGGAAAACAAGAAAGCAAGCTACCAGGTCTGGGCCTCGAACTGTGGTCAGCCATGTGGGAATCCAGCGCTCTTGTATTTTTCTTTTTTTTTTTTGAGAGGTTTTGCTATAGGGCACGTGTGTTCGCCAAATAGACAGAGAGAGACAGAGAGACAGAAAGCGAGAAATCACCCCCCAGGGGGGATGGCCACGCTGCAATCCCTTCTTCTCCATTTTCCTCTCGGGATTTTGGGCATGCACACACATGCGCCTGGTGTGAGTTTTAAGCCACCGGGTCCAGGACACAAACCATGGTCGACTACATGGGAGTCCAGTGGCATAGCCATTACGCCATCTGCTGGTCCTGGGAATCCAGCGCTCTTAACTACCATGCTACGTGCTGGCCACCAAGGTCCACTGACTCTTGCTAGTCCATGAAGCATCGTCCAAGGCTTTGTGGACCATTAGCAAAAATGACAGACCATTAGAGGGAGCTCCAGAAGCAACTGCTAGCAACTCTAGGCCAGCTTTCTAGTCCATGCAAAGGAGAAGTACTGTCGCCTCTGTCCCGGGGGCTGCTCATTCTACACATTACTTTAAGAGGTGTGGTGAGTTTGTGTAACAGCTCTAGTCATGCACGGCTTCCAGTCCCCGAATGGTCTCAAGGGTCCAAGTTGGCTATTGAATTTCCAGTCATTCTACCTACACTTCTGATTTCTTTTATTTCTAAGTTAAGAAAATGGCCCTTATATTGGATTTTTTTGCAAATATTTTAATCATATATATTCCAAATATGTTTTGCCAACTTCTTATGTAAATAATGTCAGATGACTTTTCTAACATGAAGACTCGTTTCCCTCTCCAAAGAGAATTCTGCTTTTCCCCACTAGTTACTCTCGAGTCGGCCAAGGAAAGCCTTCTAGAAGAAGTGGCTTACATCAAAACGTCATGGTGAGGAGCACCCATCAGGTGAGGAGAGCAGGAAGAGCATTGCCAGCAGAGGGAACAGCATGCGCTCCAGTTTTCTTTCACGATATTCCCTCTTTCTTCAGCACGTCTGCTTTCGCAACTCACCGACTTCTTTGGCCATTTTTAATCCCAGACAGCTGGCTTTGTTCTGGCCCACCCTGGCCTTCACTATTCCTTTCAGCTTAGCTCCTTTCCCCCTTCGACTGGACTATCTCCAGGGTCTCGGTTTTTCAGTCCAAGGTGGGAATGTACTGTGGCAGTTCATCCAGTCATACACGTTGGTTGGCTGGGGTGGGACAACGGTGTCTTAGGTTATATAATAGGAAATAAAGGACCAGCTGGCGGTACTGTAGTTAGGGCAGCTGGATCCCACATGGCTGACTGTGCAATTCAAATCCCAGACCTGTGGTCTGAAAAACACGCCCCGTGTGTGTGAGTGCATGTTCAAAATTCCCAGAGGAGAGTGGAGGAGAAGGGACTGCCAGCCATCTCTCCTGAAGAGTGATTTCTCACTTTCCCTCTTTCTAACAAACACACACTCCCTAGAGAAAAATAACTACAAAGAAAAAGAAAATAAATAAAATTTCTTAAAAATTAAAATACTAAAGTTTTTTCAGTAGACTGCAGTTCGAGTCCCAGACCCGGTGGGAAAATAACAAGACCTGGCTTTTGATAGAAAGTGGATGAATATGGAAGGTTTACTGCTGAGTGAAGCAGACCAGGCTATGGAGAGACATTGCATGTCTCCAGTTAATAGATGCCAACTGTCTACACTCAGTGGATGAACCTGAAAGACTAGAGGACATAGAAACATAGAAAATGGTTATAGATACTGGATACAGTGTGGAAAGAGGGTGGGAGAACTTGGAGAGTCTGAGGGAAGACATTAAGGAGAAAAATAGAGAGGCAAGACATTTATGGGACACAGAAATGGGTTATTATCTGTTTATGATAACATGTATGGTATCCCAAACTGGACTGGTGAGAAAAATGTATGTAACATTCACTTTACAAGTTAAGTGATGTATGTGATTGAATATATAAAGGAAATTAAAACAAAACACAACAAAAGCAACTCATGCTGGGTGCATGTGCATGCACACGCAAAATCCCAAGAGGAGAATGGAGGAGAAGGGATTGCAGCATGGCCATCCCCATTGGAGAGGTTGCTTTCATGCTTTGTGTCTCTCTGGCAGGCGCATGCACCTTGTAGGAAAAAAAAAAAAAACAAAAAACTCTCTCTTAAAACAAAATAAAACAAAACAAAAAGCAAAAACAAAAAAATCCCACACATTCTGTGCAGGCGATGTGACTGTAGCACCTGACTTGGGCTCTGGTGTCATCCACTTGTCTTCTCACCCGGGGCCCCAGCTTGCGGAGAGCCTTTGTTTAGGAGAGCCTTTGCTGCTTGTCTGGACAAGACGAGAAAGATGGCGGGCACACGATGGCTCCTAAAGCTTAAAACGAGACGTAGTGCACATGGCTTACG